TTTTTTTTTTTTTTTTTTTTTCTTTTATGGGCTGAGATAAGCGACATCTAGGCCCCTCGCAGTCCTAGCTGCCTTGCCATTCCGCAGAGACAAAATGAAAGGCTTCCAGGCTTTCCCGCAGGACCATTGGAAGGAACTTTTCTCTTGGGGGTGTCGGGGGTCATCGGCGAAGGGAGGGACAGTGTGCAGGGAGCCCAGGAGGCGCCTCCTCGCTCTGCGAGGGCCGTGGGGTGGGGATCGGTAGGTGCAGCCCCCCTGACAGCCGGTCCGGCAGCCTCAGAGGTCCTGTCCCCAAGTTAGCTGAGCGCCTGCCACCGAGATCCCCAGGCCGGGCTTCGCAGGGCTGCCTTGGAGGAGCCCAATGGAACGAGCCCTCCCAGCCCCTGTGCCCGGCGCCTTTCTCCTTCCTCCAGGTCCTGGGTGTGCAGCAGAGGGACGAGGGCTTGGCGGGTGGGAAACTTAATTCAAAATGGCTGCTGGAACTGCTTGGGTTTTATCCTTAGCAAATGTTACCAATTTCTCGGGCCAGATAAGCTGGACCGATCCTCAGATACAGGTCCCTGGCTTAGGGCCTCCAACTTTGGGGCCCTAGGTGGAAGGAGAGGTGAGCAGTCACCTGGGTGGGTGGGTGGTGGGGGGAGGAAAAAAGTAGTTGACAGAATCAGGGAGGGGGGTCCCTGCCTCCAGCTCCTCCAGCTGCTTTTCTTGGGCGCCTTTTCCCCCTGACTCGGGACTAACCATTGTGTTGTTTGTGACTGTTGTATTTTCTTGCAGACACCCCCTCTTCCCTCTCTTAGCACTGATTTTTGAGAAATGTGAATTAGCTACTTGTACCCCCCGCGAGCCAGGGGTGGCGGGCGGGGACGTCTGCTCGTCAGAGTCATTCAATGAAGATATAGCCGTGTTCGCCAAACAGGTCAGCAAAATGAATGTTTAAAAAGTAAAAGGGGAAAGAAAAAACCCCAAAAAGGGCCCCCCTTTCTCCCCTCCCACCCAGCCTATCTGCAAGAGCAACTAGCAACTAGTCCACCTTAAGCCATGCCTGTTACAAACTACCCTGAGATTTTCCTCCTGTGTGAGTGTCTGCGGGTGACTCGAAACCGCCCCTGTCCATCCCAACTCGAGCTCCACAACCGAGTGCAGAAAGCTCCCTTTATAAAATAAAATCCCAGACACCACGTGCTGGAGCTGCCTTGGATTTGGCCAGCTGAGCAGCTCCTCTAGAAGGGTAGCTGCTGGTAGAAGTCACCCTGAGCTCTGGGCTTGGTTTCGGCTTCTTTGGTCCCCGTGGAAGTGTTTCTCTGCGGGACCCACTCCGTGTCACCGAGTCTCCCTCCAAGAGGTTACACCCTGGCCGGGACAGACAGTGGAATGAGGCAAGAGACTAGGAAGGCGACCAGATTTCAAATGTTTCTTTCTCCCCCATCCCTTCTCAACTTGTATTTAGATTCGCGCAGAAAAACCTCTATTTTCTTCTAATCCAGAACTGGATAACTTGGTAAGAGTGGACCCCCTACTCCCCTC